GGGAAAACAAATGACCATTATGCCCCATGTAACTTGTATCTAAAAACCCAAACATTTCCTCTGAACTTTTTCCTTTCAGCCTCAGTGTTTTATGTTCACAACCAAAAGAAAATGTGAAAGGGATGTGTTCTAACTCTGCACTACAGTGTTATTAAGATCATTAAGACCCATAATTCAGATAATCACATGGATGACAGTCATAAAAAATGTGCTTCTGAATGCGCAATTTACTTCTGGCTACTAACAATACAAGCATGAGCCAATGGATTGGTCACCTGACATAGAATGTAACTCCCTCACTAATAGAGTCGGGGAACTATGACGTCAGAAACCGGAAGATTTTCCTATGTGGTTTTATAATGGGGTTTTTCAATTTATGAGTAAAATAAAGCCTGTGGAAAACATAACTTGATGATACTTTTACTTTTTGTTCTACAATGTAAACTGCACACACTCACAGCCCAAACATTCTTATCTAGTTACTTATTAAAAACATGCATTTTCAAAAATTAAAATAACTGCTTCAAAATTTGTGTTTTGGGTAGGGATGTGTGTAATTCACGTTGCAGAACAAAACCCCAAAGTATTGTCAAATTTATGTTATGTTTACCACAGGCTTTATTTTACTCATAAACTGAAAAACCCCATTATAAAACCCCATAGGAAAATCTCAAAGGAACCCGCAGCAATTACACTTCCGGATTCTGACATCATAGATCCCCCACTCTATTCCAGTAGTATAGTAAAAATGACTGCAAATAAAAATACAGTAAGTACAATAAGTGTCAACAACCTGAAATTGAGAGGAGTAAATATGGAAATGAAGCTACCCAAAAGAGGATTTGCAGACAACTCGTATCATTTGCACTTTATTCAAACCAGCAGTCGTGCTCAAGAGCATGACAGTGCAAAACAAGTATTAACCTAACGTTTTCCACTATAACATTTGTTTACCTATTACCTGCCTAACTTCTAGCAAGGGAGGTGCTTCTTATTAAAGGCCCAGTCAACTTAAAGGTGCACTCGGTAAGTTTTTGTTAGGCTTTAGCTGGCTCTTATTCGTCTTACTATTAGTTTTGGAATTGACACTGACACGATTATTATTGTTGTTATTAATAACAGAAGTAAATCGGGTCATGTGATGTAAACATGACGGTGCCCATAAGGGGGCGACCCACTTTGTGTTAAAGGGGTCCTATTATGCTCTTTTACAAAGTCTTGATTTTGTTTTGGGGGTGTGCTAGAACATGCTCTCATGCTTGGTGGTTCGAAAAACGCATTATTTTTCACATAATTTACATTATTAAAATACTTTTCTCCCCATCCTGGCACAAACGGCTCGATTAGTTCCGGCTTTGATGAAGGTCCGCCTTCCGAAAAACAAAATGTGTTGTGATTGGTTAGCTGTCCCAGTGCGTTGTGATTGGCGAACAGCTTAGACAGTGTTTCAGTACTGCCCCGCCTCTTGCTCTGTCTTTCAACAAAAGCTTTTGGCGAATCCGGCACTTCTCACTCGTGTTGTGGAAGCTGTCCTCAGTAAAATGCGCAGCACACAATAGCAAATTGGGGTTATAATGCTCAGGAACAGAGTTAAAAAGTAAATTGCAACCACTGTTTCCTGACATCATCCGCTTTCGGAAGTGAAAAAAAAACTAAACAGCGTTTCAGGCGGTCGCACACCGGACCACGTCTTTAAAATTCGAATACATTATTTTCTATGAGTGTAGGCACACCAGCGGCGCCGTTCGGCGTCTGTCCACGGCGCCCAGCTACGTCGTGTTATATTTGTAAGAATTGTTCTAGACCAGCGGTTCTCAATTCCAGTCCTCGTGTACCCCCGCTCTGAATGTTTTGCACGGCTTTCTTTGGTAACACACCTGATTCAGATCATCTCGTTAGAAGTGAGCTCCGTGCATGAACTGTGTTCCGATTGACATGGTCCCTACACAGTGTGCATTGCTCCCTACTCCCTGAGCAGGGGAAATCCGTTGAAGTTTACTTCACTTCGGAATATTCATTTACAGATTTGCGCTGCGCCGCTGGCTGCAGCGTCTTCACACACAAACGAAACTTACTAGAGAAGCGTGAAGTGGGACATAATATACCTCTGTAAATAAATAAATTTAAACTCACGTCTCGCACACTTAAATGCCCTTTGTATGGAACATATATGCTCCCTTCAAAGTGGAATCATGGAGGAATATCCGGTAATGTCCACTTCGCAGGGCACTTACAGTCAAATATAGCAAACGTATGAATCAATAAGAGAAACATACAAAATGTGCAGAGCAGGGGTACGCGAGGACTGGAAATGAGAACTGCTGTTCTAGACATGCCAAAAATTTGAGGCTACAGCACAGCAGCTCTTCTTCTTAGTTTTCTCTGATGCACGAACTCTGCAACAGCTCTTCTTCGTCGTCTCGTCTCATGCGCTCACTCAACCAAGCATTCTAACCACAACCTCGCCCCTCCCCACCCCCCAACCATTCGAATTTCTGTAGTTGGGAATTCTTTGTAATGAAATTCTAATGGGCCGCTTTGTGATATCATAAAGCCCGGAAACCAAACGCTGTAGTCCAAACGAGCCTTTATGCCCAAACATACACACTACACACTGACTAAAATTAAAAAAGTAAAAAAGCATAATAGGACCCCTTTAAATAAAACTGCTTTTTCTAGAAAACTGACATGGTTTGGACTCTCCATCGTATTTGAGTGCATATCATTGTAATGAGATCTGTCAAAAGTGCATTTTATTTCTTTAAATATAAAATTGTACACATCAGCGAAAATAACGGAGTACACCTTTAAAGGGTTAGTTCACCCAGAAATGAAAATTCTGTCATTAATTACTCACCCTC